TTAGGGAGCTAAAGGATGTTATAGATTTGTTAATTTAAGGGTAACATAATTTAAGACAGAATATAATTATTGTATTGTAAACCCTGTGTGTAGCTCTGGGAAGTCGGGGGGAAGGGAGGGGGGTGGGGAAGGGTGGGGTTCGAGGGAGGTGGGGAGATATGTTGTAAAACTTTTAAAAATTTTCAATAAAAAAAAAATAAAATAAATAAATTCAGGTAATATGATAATAAGGCGCACCGATGTAGATTGTGATTAATTAATATAATTTAATTCTAATCTTTTACAGCATTCATGCTTGCAAGGGCCTGTTTCTTTTACTATGAAGCTTAGTATCATATATTTAATTTCTGATCTTTCTTTCTAGTTTCTTGATGATGTAAGCACTTGAGTTCCCAAGACTTTTAATCTGTTAGAAAAAAATGAATCTGTTTTCATGTAGTCAGATAAGTGAGGAGTACTGTATATTTCATGATTATATTTCTTCCTGCCTGCCATATGGCTATTAATAAAGGAACAATCGCAATAAATTTATTTTTTGCATAATCCTTTTTCCCAGCAGTACAATCAAGCCTATTGGAAGTCTTAAATCTTATAAAGATATAAATTAATTCCACATTGCAGTATTTGCTGTGTGAAGGATGCTTAATTGAAGAATAATTATTGTGTAACCAATAATTACTTCTGTAACCAATTCATTTAAGGCATATTTAACTGCATACTACTTTCTGTCCCAAACTAGTTATAGCTCAAAGAGGAAAATAAACTAGCTATTCCCATTGAGCTGATAAGCTAAAAAATGCATTAAAAATAAATAAAAAAGAAAGAGAAAAATTCTTTCAATTAAATAATGTCATAACTGTGAGAAGTTCTCTTGGGAAGCACAGTTCTGCTTTATAAACTAAGATGCAAAATAATCTAGTTTGTGTGTGTAATAATGGTCTTTTATTTAAAAAAAAGCGTGCACTGATTTTGAAGAAAGTCTTTTTAAAATATCTTTATCTTCAGCAGTAAGAAAGCATGCTGTTCAGTTTCAACCAATGAAAAGTTTGTGACAGTAATAGTCTTATTCTACAGATAAATCTATCAACCCAAGTAATTTTTCCCAATCATTATTTACAGTCTGTAAGTTCAGGCAAAATCACTGACTCACAGGATGTTAGGAGAGATGTAAAAATAGTAAATTTTCATTTTAAATCTAACTTAAAATGTTCTCTGATAAACCAATGAATTGTCCAAAAGCGCTCTGGAATGTCACAAAGTCCTAGGCTCAGTTATTTCACATACAATGAATACATTTCTAAAGTTTTTATTGTATAAAAATATATATAGTTTATGTTAAACATACTTTTAGCATGAAACTATATTGAAATTTGCTTTTTTGATACAATACCATGTATAATTTTTAAAGTCATTGTAAAATGCATGTATTGACTATATAGTTAGATGATTCTTTTATATCTGCATAACAATTGTATAGTTTCATGATTTAAAAACAAATCTAGTAAAACCTGTATTGTAATTAATACTACATAAACACAAGAGATTTCCACACTGATTTTTTAGGAGGGTTGGGGATTTTTTAGATATTAATTTACTATACCATAACATTTAATTAAATTGCTTTCCAAGGCAGCTGATAAAAACTAATAGCAAACAATTAGCTTTAATAAGTAACAGTGAAATAGCATAAAAGTTATATGTGAGCATGGTTATTCTAGTGTGAGCTTTTTTTCAACAGCGTACTTTATTTATGTGCATCTGTTGTATGTGTTTTATTACAGTACTCTGACAAGGCCTTATTCACCCAGCTATGCTTTTACCGTTATATTTTTGATGTGGACTATGCAAAAGAAAAATATACTGGTCCAGAGAAAGGTATGTTACAACACTGTAATTACCCTGAAAGTTTAAAGTGAAAATTTGCATCATAAAAGGCAGTCCTATTTTCTGGTGTTAGGCCAATCTGCCTCATTCTGTTAACATAATATACATAAAGGTACCTGACTGCATGAATTAAGAAATTGTATATAGGAAAGAAGATGTATGTCATAATAATCAACTGTATATCTCTGACTGCTGAAAGAAATGTCTGGGAAACTTTATCTTCTCTTAAGTGATTGGAAATGCTGGTGATTTAGTCTTCCCTTTGCTTGGAGGCTTCTTTCTGGTTAATCTTTTTAGTATTTTTAAAATATACTTTCAATTTTACCTATATAGTGAGATTATATTTACTAATGTTTATAGTTAAATGTATTTTATATATGCGTTTTTATAAATATGTGCATTGAATGACACATAAGACAACTATCCAAAATATAAAGGTAAAATTATACACCTGTGCAAAACATTCAAAGGAAGCAGCTTTCCTTGAATTATTGAAGCAGCTTTGTCCTCACTAAGGCTGCTTTAAGCATTTTCCTAGATTAATGACCTACCCTTGCAAATGCATAGAAAACACTGCTGCTTCAACTGTAAAACAGTTCTGGGAGCCAGTTATGTAAAGACCTGCAATCTTAGGTCAGCCAGCACTGAGCATCTTTACTCCTAATAACTTAAAAGTTTGGAATAGCATTTTGTGATATTGGGAGTGGAGGGAGAAAACCTATTATTTATTTTGATTTCCATTCACTATAGATATTCAGAATGATTTAAAGTATGAATTATTTGTGGTACATTATGCTTAATGGAGTAGAAAACATGTATTGATGATTTCAAATATTGAATCTGGATATGGCTACACACACACACACACACACATATGTATATATATATGTGTGTGTGTATGTGTGTATATGTACATGTACATACACACACACACACAAATAAAAAAGTATAAAGGTATAGAACTTCATCTTTGTAATGCTAGCTCTCTGATACAGGTGTTCCTCATTTAACAACCACTCATTTAACAATCACTCAAACTTATGATAGCACTGAAGAAGTAGAAGTTAAACCAATCTTTGGAATTTTGGCCATCACAAAAGCTCACAATCACATGTTCATGACTTGGAACCTTCCCTGCCAGCTTCCCACAATCAGTCAATGGTGAAGTGAAAAGAAGTTGCGGTCACATGATGCCCTGGCTTTACAACTAGTGTAGTCCTCATTTAACGACAGCAGCCAGGTCTGGCTGAATTGCTGTTGCTAAGCAGCATGGTCATATGACTTCATGAGACATCATTATAACTGCATTTCTTAGCTATTTTTGTTTTTAACTGAGGACTACTTATAATAAACATAATTAAAAAATGGAGTGCTCGGTTAATTAGATCTAATATCTAAAATGTATGTATTGAAATGAAACCTGTTTTATTTAAAGTAGAGTGGTTTTGAGAATAGATCAGGTTCCTTTTAAAGTATTAACAAAGTTCACCTTTTGTTTTTAATCAGAAGCCCATTTTAATCCATTTCATATGGATTATATAAATCTATTTGTGTTTCTATAAATCTATATGTGTTTCAGTGCATGAAAATACAACAACAACAACAACAACAACAACATAATAATAATAATAACAACAACAACAACAACAACAATAATACAGTTGGGAGGGAACTTGGAGGTTATCAAGTCCAACCAGGCAGGAAACCCTATACCATTTTAGACAAATGACTGTCCAGTCCCTTCTTAAAAACTTCTAGTGTTGGAGCATTCACCGCTTCTGGAGGCAGGTTGTTCCACTGATTAATTGTTCTAACTGTCAGAAAATTTCTCCTTAGTTCTAGGTTGCTTCTCTCTTTGGTTAGTTTCCGTCCGTTGCTTCTTGTCCTGCCTTCAGGTGCTTTGGAGAATAACTTGATTCCCTATTCTTTGTGGCAGCTCCTGAGATATTGGAACACTGCTATCATGTCACCCCTCATCCTTCTCTTCATTAAACTAGACATACCCAATTCCAGCAACCGTTTCTTATATGTTTTAGCCTCCAGTCCTCTGATCATCTTTGTTGCTCTTCTCTGTATTCTTTCTGGAGTCTCAACATCTTTTTTACATCGTGGTGACCAAAACTGGATGCAGTATTCCAAGTATGGCCTTACCAAGGCATTGTAAAGTGGTATTAACACTTCATGTGATCTTGATTCTATCCCTCTGTTAATGCAGCCTAGCACTGTGTTGGCTTTTTTGGTAGTTGCAGCACAATGCTGGTTCATATTTAAGTGATTGTCCACTAGGACCCCGAGATCCCTCTCACAGTTGCTACTATTGAGCAAGATACCACCTATACTATACCTGTGCATTTGGTTTTTCTTGCCTAAATGTAGAGCCTTACTTGTCACTCTGTTCTTATTTAGAACTAGTTACCAAGTACCCCACAATCTTGTGATCATCTTTTGTAATCTTCTCTGCTGGCTTCCCCATCAATGGGGGAACTAGCAGGAAAGGTTGCATGTTGTTGCTGCCTGCTGACAGGACTTTGTCTTATCTAATCTCTGAGGGTTGACTGAAAAGGTTGTCTAAGAAGGGGAGCTGAGCTCCTGAACATTGGAGCTCTTTTCCTGCAGTTCTCTTCCATGTACAGAGGAGAACTGAATTCCTTCAGCAGGCAGCTCTTTCAGCCAGACCCTGGAAACAAGAGAGAACTAAAATCCAAGCAAAGAGTAGAGAAGCACTCCAGAGCGACAGCACAGTAAGGAAAGGAGTGCAGGACAGTGCCTGGGGGATGCTCAGTGGAGGCCTCAGGCTGAAAATCTTGCTTGAATTTCTACAAGAAGAATTTTTACTGTAGCTCCTGAGCAAAGACTCCCCATCCCACCCCCCCAAGGTATCCCATGCTCCTTACCTGGGATTCCATTGGTTTAATGACCCCCAATATTACTTAACGATCACAATCACTTCACACAATGACCAAGATTGCAGTCCTAGTTGTGGTTGGAAATTGAGCATTACCTGTACACATTTCCCTAATAAATGTATTTTTGTCTGCTGCTTTCCCTAATGTATAGTTTTTAATGTGTTATTTAGAAAATATATCAGACACTTTAGAAAAGTAAAAAGATGTAATGTGGTTGGTGTACTGGAATACTGTATACTCAGAATATACAAATTAGATTGGTAAAATGCATTCCAAACTAATTATCCTACTTAACAAATATGTCATTAATTGGAGGTCAATTAACTCTTTTTCCAAAAATTTATATCAATTTTTATAAGAGATTTGAGCATTTTTTCAAGATTATTATAATTTCTGAAAATAAATTGTGAATCAGAATAATTACAGCTATTGTAAAAGCAATGGAAGACTGTTGTATTTGTGTCCAAGTTGAGAAAATCAATATACCACCTAAGGGCAGTGAAATTTACAAATGCAACTGGTTTAAACATTTTGGGGAGCTATAATGATAAGGAACAGGGAAAAAAAGATAAGGGTTAATAATCATCCAAAATGTTGCTGATCTCAACTATATATTTTGCTTAGTTTGTAAGGAGAAACTTGCAAGGCTGCAAAAAATTGCTGGCTGTGGATATTTGCTCTACAAGATAGGCTGAAGCTCTGCAACTTTTCAAGGTTTAATAAAATGAAGAATAGACCTGAACATGACATATTTTCTTTTGAATATTTTATTTTAAGTTCTTTTGCTTAACATTTTCCTAACCTAGCAATAGAACACCTTAATTCTAAGGACTTCTAGTACTAGTATCAGAAATATCAGACCAATTATTAAAGTAAAAATGGAAGGCTAGATTATATTGAATCACTCACTGATTAAAAAAGGTTGGAAATTAAAAGTATTGTGTATATTTTTAGATCACTACTTTCACTCTTTTCTAAGATCTCTAAGGTATTCATTTTTATACTGTGCATTTATTTTAAAAATAAATCCATGCTCAGCAAATACTTTTACAAATTTATAACTGAATTTTACACTAGTCCTTCATAAATATACTAAACATGCTCAGTTAACTTTCTGGATGAGTAGACTGTAAAATTGTATTTAGAAAAATGAAATGGTTAAGCTGTATGACCTCCAAGGAAATGCAAAGTCTAACTTGAAATATTTGCTTATATCCTGTAATTTAAACATTGTTTTTTCTCTTGTGCTCATGACTTGGTGTGCAAAATATCAATGCAAAGTGGGGGTTTTTTATGGATGAGTTGCTAGAAAGCTTTATAAGGAGAGCATTCATCATGGTGGTATTTTTCAGTGATACTAATGGGGATTTCAATATGTCTCTGCTATCAGTTGACAGTTATACAGAAAAAATTGCATATTGTAACAGTGTCCCCAAATAAACTTAAGAATGAAATACCATAATAAAAAGTGGGCATTTCTATAAATTAAGATAATTATTCATTTACTGTAGGTACAAAGGAAATTATAAGAATTTATGTGCATATTAGGACGCACACAGTTAGGATGAATTGCCTTTGGGTCAGTATGAAAAGGTAGCATTTATGTCATTATCTTAATAATCAAAAAGGATTTTTAATTCAACCTCTCAAACAACTAATAAAACTGTACCTATCTACCGGTATATGAAGCTAATTTAAAAAGTAAATTTTTTTACCATAAAATCTTTACCATACCATACCAAGTTTGCTGATAACCAAGTACATAATATAATCTCTAGTTAAAATTAAATCTTTCCAGAAAACTAGGTAGATTTAGCCCCATTTGGTTTAAATAATGATTTACAGTATACTCAATTTCTGCTTGAGAAAAAAATTACACTTCAAAAGTGCTTATAGAATAGAAAAATCTTAAATACAGTTTAAAGAGAATTCAAGTTTTAAGGCATGTACTGTGTATTATCTGAAGTGTTTTGAACATCAGTAGTGAAGAAATAACAACATTCGCAGCACTGAAACATCAATTTAAAGTTTTTCTAGCTAGTTTCAAATGTCTCAAGAGGATTTTTAGTTGATTTACTGTGATTT